TTCGGTGTGGGTGCGGGTGTGGGTGTGGGTGTGGGTGTGGGTGTGGGTGTGGGTGTGGGTGTGGGTGTGGGGTGTGGGTGTGGGGTGTGGCTGTGTGGTGTGGGTCTGGGTCTGGGTGTGAGTGTGAGAAAGAGAAGATAAAAACTCACACCCACAGCCACACCCACATCTCCCCGACATCCACACCCACACCCGCCCACCCACACTCCACACCCAGCCACACCCACACCCACACCCACACACCCTTGTGTACCGGTTCATTCTCGATCTCGATTGTATCACAACAAATAAATAGTTCTTAACGAGAAGAACCTTTTGGGGAAGAGCTTTTAGAAAAAAGTGAATCAGATATTGATTAAATCTATAAAATTCGAATATAGTGCTGCAAAAGCTTACTATATTCAGTATAAAGATAATTAAAAGTCAGTTCTATTGATGTCATTCGATGAAAACTCATCAGATATATAGTTTATTTATTTATGTAAATTCACTTTGGATGTTAAAAAACAAATGATTTATAAGATAAATTTAACGTTAACAGAGCAGATTCCATGGAGCTGTATTGAAGTAAAGATGCATAGCTGTGAATCCACCAATATCTTCGAAAAATTTTTCCAAGCAGGTTGGTACGATTCTCATAAACTTCTGAAAATTAATAATAAAAATAAATAAAAAATTTTCTTCAAAACTATATTTGTCATACGAACCGAAACTGCTCCATACGGTACAGATTCTGTTCGTTTTGAATAATCATATTTGCCGGCAAGACCCCATCCGAATCCTGTCAATTTGCCTTTGTTATACAAGAGAAAGACAGGAAAGATTTCGTCACATTTATTGTCGAGTCGATTGTCATACCAATAATGAACACCTGAAGAGAAATCTATGGAAATAACAGGTTTTTTTAACTAGATGATGGAATTTACCCATCGATGGAAAACATGAGCCCAATACCCATTTCGTTGTATTGACTGTATTTTCATACAATGGTGATTGAACTGAGTCGCGAATAGGATCAGGTCCATTTTGTAGCCAAAGACCAGTACCTGAACCCTCGAGTTTAAGACGGGCTTCATCTCGACCTGATGTACAAATGGTTTGTGGATCGACAAAATATGCTGTCAAAACATAAGAATCGATGCCTGCAACTGTAGCTCGATTATACATTTTCTGTGTATCAAATTTATAATATTTTGTTTTGGCCATGGAGACAGGAAGCTTTTAAAATAAATAAGCAATCATAGAAGAACAATCAAAACAACTTACTGCTAATTGTACACCAGCAATGCTACCTTTTATATCATATATCAACACCAAAGCAATATCATTGTCTTTTATGAAGCGTTGTCCGAGAAATTGTCCTTTAATAATATACGAAAAACTACTAAAATATAGATTCAACAACACTCACCTTTGCATTCAGTGGAAATCTGAACGAAACCGTCCTTTTTCGCTTCGGTAACAGTGAGGGGTTGGGCAACAAAGTAGTTTTTACTTAGAGGATTTGGACCCCATGTCGATTTAAACGAGTCCCATTTAGGTCCAGAGTCACTACGATCATCAATACAGAGGCAAGACCCTAAAATGAAAAATAACACATTGTATATTCGATTTGAATACTCTCTACTACGTACAAGAAGTGAAGCATCCAATCAAGAAAACTATAATATATTTCATTAGAAGGATATTGTCGATCTTTTTTTCACTGATGAATATACGATAATTGAATAATTTCCTATCTGGTTACACAACGCAAAATGAAAAATGGATATTCTATCGACAAATATTTATAGCCTGAGAAAATGATTGATTATTGTTATTGAGTCCAATGTTAAGGCTTAAGCGAAAGAAAGTCGAGTCATGATGATATCGTATTTGCACAATGATTTAACAGAAAACCAACAGTAAAGTAATTCAAATTTTGCAAAACAATCGGTATATCGTTTTTCAAGAAAAACTGAATGTGAATCGAACAATCGGTGATATATCATCGAAGAATGACGATAACTATGCTTACAACTAGTGCTGATGAAAGAGCTAAATTGACATACATCATCTGGCGTCACCTGTGAGTTTAAAAAAACTGTTTATTAAGAGCTTACTTCTCAATATGCAAACAGATTATCAAGTTCGAAATCTAAAAAAAAACATTATATTCGACTATCAATTTTTTCTTATTCACTAATGATCGAATTATATGAAGTCTTTACTGATTAATAAATTACGATTGTATATATGAGACAATTCAGAAAACAGGAAAAATAATGAGCTCACAGAATAGTAGATGGAGTTCGATTAATCGTATTTGATAAAAGCTAACTGATTAGTTCAAAACATTTATAAATGATGCACAGAAATTAAATTCTCTATCATATTCATTGGAAAAACAATCGATTGTTATTACTTATTTACAATCAATTTTAAATTCCTACGAATGAAAACGAATATCTGCAGTCAGATATGTGACTATGGAGAATCCGTTCCACTTTTAAAACAATTCTTCATCGACTGAATATCGAATTTATATGTTTCATCAAGTAATCAACTATTCTTCTATTACAATCATCAAATAATAATATTAACAATTTAAATGTAGAACATATTCAGAAGAACATGACCGATCAATCTATATTGCTGTTCGAAAGATGATATTTTAATTTAATTTCATTGTTTGTCTTATTGATCTTCTTTATCGAAGATGATTTAAATAAAATCAATCATCAATATAAAATTATGAAGATTTAAAGTATAATTATGTATTTGAGAGAAATTCATTTTTTTAAATAGTTCAAAATAACGCCAAGACTCCATATGAGGTATGGTGAAGTACTATTGATATCGATACTATTTCAAATAAACTTAATCTTGATTACTCGAATTCATTGTATCATGTTGAAGAGAAGATTTATGCGAGTGATTTGAGCGTAGGTGTTGACGCGGATAACGATTTGTTTGTTTAATGTTAATTTCAACTAAATGGACACTTCAAAAGAAAATTTTCTATTCTTAGTTTTAATAAAATTTTTTAATTGTTTTCGATATAAAAATTGAATTCTTTCTATTTTTTTCAACAAAATAAGAATAAGAACAAAAAATAATATAGAAGAAAATAAAATAAATATAAGAATAATGTTTATTGTTCAAAATTGACAAATTTTCTTAAATTATCTGTTTGAGTTGTTATTTGAATAGATCGTCGTTCAAATGAATTCAGTTCTGAATTAATAATTTTTTCTACATTATCTTTATTTCTTATAAAAACAAGACATTGATTTGTAAAACCGATTTGTCGTAAGTTTTTAATTAAACGTGTACCTGCATTATGAGCAGACTTTTCATTATATAACGTGTCATATCTGTTACAATTCGAAATGTATCTTGATTTTTTAAGCGCTGTCCAAAAGATGATCGAAGAAATGACAAAGCACTATTTGTTGTTGATTTTGGAATAAAATGAACATTAAGATTAAGTGCTTTAGCTGCTGCTGTTTCCATATGTTGTTTATTTTCCCAATTTTCATCAAATATATTATTATCAACCCATAAAACTGACCATTTCGAAAGATCTAATTCAACTTGTCTCATATAAATGATGTGTTGATTTTCATGATAACCAACTTCATGTTTAAAAACAAAAAAAATGTTGAATGAGGTAAAAATAAAATTTCATCTTCTTCTTCATAATTTGAAAATTGTTTTATTGGACGGCCAGTTAATGAATAGATTTTGAAATAAGTATTACGATAAGCAAAATCGAAATTAGTAGCAACTTATTTTCCTTTTTCTTTTGAACTACTAAATTGAATCCATGTGATTAAACAACCAGGCATATATAATTGTAATTCATTATCAGTTAATGTACAAGCACGTGTAACATAACTTCAATAATAACGAAGATATGAAAGAGCTTTTACTAAATAAAAGAGTAAAACAGCAGTTTCATTCATTTCATCTTTTGTTTTAGCTTCAATAACTTGTTCATTAGCTTGACGAGCAACAAGACTAGTACCACGACTAACTGCTTCACTTTTTGTTCCTGTATAAAATGATAAAGCTAATGCTGCTGCTTGAGCATCATCGATTGATAAACCTTTTTTTAGTAAAATAAAGTGTTGATAATACAGTTCTTTTTTCATGTTCAGCCATTATATTATCAACATTAACTCCTTATTTTGTTTCATAGAAACGACAAACTTGTTTTAATTTTTCATAAGATGATTTTCTTCTGACCATATCAAATAAAAAAGGATTAAAATGATCTTCATAGACCAAATGACTGTTATGATTGGAAAACATTTTCACTATTTATATTATTTTCTAATGTAATATATTCCAAATAAAATTCTATTTCTTCTGTCTCCATCATCGTAAGTGATGATTTTGTTGCTTCCGCATGTTCTCTTGAATTATCTCGTGAATCAACAGTTCTTGTCAACTTTTGTAAATGTTCACGATTTGTTAAACGACCAATGAATATCATATTAAAATCATGTGGTAAACGAGCACTTTCAGATGATGATACTGGATTAAAGGTACATAAATCACGTACTATTTCTTTCACACTACGATCTTGTTCTTTAGACATTTTAATTCTTTTGAAATAGAATAATAAAAAAAAACAAAATGTTTTTTTATATTATCGATAACAATAAACTAAGTAGGAAAACAACAAAAAGCATGTGAAAATCAAAGAGTTAACAGTGATAAAAACAGAAAAGAAAAATGTTTATGACAAGAGCAAACGATGAAATAGATGAAAGAAAATAATCAGGCAAACATAATTATTTGTCCAAGGAAAAACAAATCATTTTTTGTTCTCTATTTCAAAAAACAAAGATCATTAGAATGACAAAAGCAACATGTTTTTAACTCAAGGCAGTGTGTTGTGATTCATGCACCTATTCAGACAAAATAATTTTCTCTGTTGTTCAATGAATTCTTCCTGTCTATGAAAATTTCACAACTTTTTATTTTTCTTTGAATAAATGAATAATAAAATGGTTTCATTGATTTTCATAATACTGAAAATTGTTTACCTGCATTTACAGGCTATTAGAATGTCTATAAGAGAAACAATCGGCACTTTTACGATATTTATAAAGTCAAAAAGAAAATGTTAGTAATCAATTTTTCTTGTGAATATTATTTTTATATTTGAATATAAGAAGAAAAATTTCATTAGAAAACAATTTTCATATTGAAACTCTTGATTGTCAAAGAATCTAATTTAATGTCTCTATATTCCTATGGAAGTTGTCACAAAACTCATAATCACTTAAAGATATATTGCTAAACAAGGTTAACCTAATATTCTTTTGTTTTCTTTTGCTATTTGGAAAAGTAGAGAATATGATCCGATCAATTAATAATCATTTAAGTATTTCGAAAGATCAAAATTCAATTGAGATAAATCTATTTTAACATTAACTTGAAAATTTCTATTAGGTTATATCCAATCGATAGATATTATTGAAAAAATAGGAAAATTTTTTTCTTCAAAAAAAAAAAAGATTAAGACAATTCCATCTTCTATAAGACAATTAAATTTGATTGATCTAAATTTTTATTCTCTTTTACCAAATATAAAAGAATAATTTTTTTTGATTGATTTTAATTATTTATTTTGAAAATTTTATAGTTAATAGTGACTGAAAAAATTATTAATATGAATTAAAACATCAATGAATAAAGAGAAGAAAAATAGTTCAAAATAACTAACATATAATCATTGTTCGAGTAGAATTATTATTTTCATATCTTATTTTTTTTCTCATAATAAAAGCATAAAATTTAATAAAAATTCTTTTCAATTCTCGTCTAAATGAAGATGATGTTGAAATATAAATATAAAATGGTAAAGCTGTATTTAAATACATAATAAATGATTGTAGAATATAATTAATAAATGATTCAATTTGTTTTCGTTCTCGACTTTTTATTAAATCATCTGTCACCATTTTATAAATAAGATAAATTGAAAATGGCATTGTGCTCATAACATAAAACATAACTTCAATAAAAACCATATTTATTAAATCTCTATCACGTTTTTGAACTATATTAATTGATTGTTTATTTTCTCGATCTTCTCTTATTGGTTGAACACGACTTCGTAATTGTTTTAAACTTTTCATAGCTAATAGAGTAAATATTATTATTAATGTTGGAGGAAGAATTCCAGCAGTTATCATATAATAAATTGTATAAATCATTGAATAAATATCATTATATATATTACATGAACCATTTTCAATTGTTCGGGCCCAACCAAAAAATATAACTGCTGTTAACCAAAATAAAGCACAACCTATTATTAAATAAATAGCCACTTTACGTTTGCTAAATGAACGAATGCGAACATTAATACTACAAATAGCATAACGATCAATACATGCAAGAACTTTATATGTACGCATTATTTGAAAAAAAGCATGTCGAATATAAAATTGAATTTTACAAACAATTTGATATTTACTACTTATATCAATATGATCTAATGAATATATTATTGGAAGAATTCCAACATTAAGACAAATTAAATTACATATTGTCATTGATAATAAATAATATGAACAAGGATTTTTACGTTGTTCACTTTGACAAAAAACAGCTATTGTTAATAAATTACCAAGATTTCCAAATGCAACATAGCTACTCATACCATATCGTGTTAAAATTTGTTGAACAATTGATAGATAATATACAGAACTTGACATTTTTATTAGTTCTGTATTTGAATAAGAATTGTTTAAAACGACAAAAAAACCGAGTGATAAACAGTATAGAATATGATTCTTATTTATATAAAAAAACGAGTTGTCAGATCAATGAATATATAATTACCATCAAAGCATAGAATTCTATGCTTGATTAACGTCTTTTACTTTTTTAATATAAATGTTCGAGGACAAAGACATACCGATAATGTTCCTTGTTGATTATCATTTATTCATTTTGACACTTTTCTTTAAAACACAGTAGATTTATTCAATTTCAATGGTATTTTTAATATCATATTGTGATTAGGTTCATTAGTGTGTCAAATAATGATTCAAAACAACCTCAAAAAAAAAAATTTTTTTTTCATCTTAATAATTGATAAAAAAATAAAATGAAATGAATAAGCCATTTATAGAATTCTATTTAAATATTTGACTAATTAAATAAAATTTTTTCTTAGATTATTAAAGTCTTTGAACAATATAATCAATATAATAAATAGCAACATTCATTTTCATAGTTCATTATCATCATATAACGATATAAGAAAATAATTATTAATAATTTTCTCTAAATAAACTTAATTTAGTTACGATTATTATCTTTACTAGATTAATCAATATCTAGAACAAAATCGCTCATTCGATTTTAATGATTATTTATAAAAGAAAAATAATTAATCAAGCAGAAAATCATTGCAATTAAACTCATTTTGAATCCGAATGTTAACTCTTTAACCGTCGACATAAAAGAGATAAACAAGCTCTACCGAAAATCATCCAGCTATTTATTTTGATCCAGTTTTACAGATTTATAGAGCATACCATTATGACATGATACTATCACACAAGGTTCAGCTGTCTGATGCTTATTTAGATGCAGACAAATCTAAAGAAGCATGCATTACGATTAATTGTGCCAGTTTTATACACAAATAAAGTTCATGACGTATATAAACGTCGGCGACAGTTAAAGGGTTAACAAGACCTTTCAAAGATTGAAAAAGAAAAATATATTTCAACTGAATATAGTTTAATTAACTGAAGCATAATGAAATTATTTTCTTGACGTCATTTGTCTGTGTTTATTCTTTCATCATATTATTATTGAATAAATCAATTTTATTTTCAATTTCGTTAATATGTTTAAAAAGTAAACATTTATTTTATGATAAATTATTATTAAAATAATAAGATTTTTTCTCATCAATTAATATTGAAGATTAATTATTTTATAAATTAATATTGAAAAATAAAATAAATTGATGATAATCATTAATAAAATGTTCACTATATAGATTTAGTTTTCATAGAAATTATTTTGAAAATTAACTTAAAATCTTATTTAAATAAATCATTTTATATAAAATTATTCTTTTTTTTTTATCTCAATCAATTATTAATATATCAATTTATTCAGATTTATTTTATTGAAAATATTCTAAATTATTCATTTTCTATTATATATATTTAATTCAAATCAACTATTGGAAATTTATTAAATTTAATGAATAATTGACTAATAAGATCATCAAAAGCACAATGACATTTGTTTAACTATTTAATGATTCAATATATTCAAAAAGAGAATTCATTTAGAATATTTTCAAATTGAATTATTATAATTAAAACAAACATTTCAATTTAATAGATATTACAACTACAGCTTTTTATTTAGCATCTCATCACAACGCATTTCAATACAATGATGGTGAAAGAGAACTTTTTCCTCTCTACAATCGTATATATAGCTTTTTTTTTCATATTTGTTCATTTATCCTTAGATTGAACAAAAAAAAAGTATGAAATGTTGATCCCCATATCTTTTTTCATAAACATCTTCGCAATAAAATGAGATTGGGATTGGAAAAAAGAAAATCACTCGCGCAATAAAATAGTAATTATTCTATGAATCTATCAAAACATGGTATGCTACAACAGTAAATCAGATTCAACTGCTGTTTCACACATATGTTTTTGATAGGTTCATAGAATAATTACTATTTTATTGTGCGAGTGTTTTTCTTTTTTCCAATTCTAATCTCATTTTATTGACGAATATATCCCAAACATGAATAATATAATGTTCGAAAGAAGAACAAGTTTCCTATCGATTAATCAAATATATTTCATTTGGAAAGTGTTTATCAAAAAAACATAGATATCAATATTTCACCCCTTTTTTTTTGTTCAATCTAAGGATAAATGAACAGGTGTCAAAAAAAAGCTCTACATACGATTGTATAGAGGAAAAACTTCTTTATTTACTCATGAAAAAGTTCTTTTTCAGTACCATTTTTTATTCATTCATAATCAGATGGTTTTTGTTTGTCAGCATAAATAAAACTATCAGAAGATTATCAACAGAATTAATAATTCAAAACTTTAGAAAAACAAAGATATTTTTCTTGTCGTTTTAGTAGATAAATAAAGAATAGAAAACAAACGTTAGAATGTTAAATAATCTTGATGAATGGATAAAAATGTCAAAAAAATCTAGTAAAATGATAGTATAATACCTGAGATGATTATGTCTCGTTTTGTTTCAAATATTGTTTTATTAATTAGTTAATTGATAAAATGATGAGAAAAATCTTGACATATTTATATAGTGAACATGAAAATGAGAAAGAATGTTAATGTAAATAAATGATAACATATGGTAATTCTGATCATTTTAATATTGATGATTGTGATATTCTACAAATAATATTAGTATTGTCTCATTGAATAACATAATATATATATTTTATATTTTTAATTGATTAATCTTGTATCCTTTGTATTTGATACTAAAATAATATATAAAAAAAAATAAAGAAAATATAAAAAATGAATGATTTATCAAAACCAGGCTCGAAACAACTATTTTAATATAAAGATTTAAATATTGTTTAAAATATTCTCTTATTCATTCAGATGCATCTTGTTTAATATAAATACCATTTAAAAAAAAAAATAAATCTATGAAAATTTCTAATAGTTGATCGATAATGAAGAGTCTATTGATAATTATCTAATACTTAAATATAATGAAAATGATTTTTTTTTTTATGATAAATATCGATAAATTCGAATTAAATAGAAACATATCTATCTATACATAGTATTATGTTGTTCAAATCATATTTAAAACGGTTGTGGTGCATCTGTTCTACATCCAAACATATGACATATTTGTTCTTGGTAATTAACATTTTCAATTAGAAAATAAAACTCATTAGAATTCAATGTATAACTTATTTGTTGACTTTTACGATGATAAATTTTATTTAAATGGTATAAAGATATAATATCAAGCAGATATTCGTTCATATTTAACTCGAATAATAAATTGAGTATTAATCCATGTTTGTTTTGTAACTCATAATTAAGATTTACTTTTACTGGACTTTGATAATATCTGATAAATAATTTTTTCAGAATCTTTGATCTTTTTTCGAGACTTCTACCCGAAATTTACTATACAATATGGGCATTATTACAGTTTATTCAATATAAAATCTATAAGAACAGAGATATAGGATATTAAATTGATTGTTGTGTCAAAATAACATTGAATTAATGATAGATCTGACATTGAACAAGGTTTTTTTTTTCGTATCATATTTACTTTGTTTGTCATTTAGTAATAAATGATGTTTGGTTCTCAATTATATTCATTATACCAAATCATCAAGAATATTACATTATTTAACTAATTAACATATATCACTATGTGAACGTTAATCGATTTCATAAACATTTAAAATATTGTTTTTTTTCTTTTTCTTTTTCTTTTAATATTATTTTCAATTATATTTAAATTAATATTGTATTGATCTATAGTTATTATAGTGTATCATTGAAAATATTCAGTTAGAATTTGATTAATCATTCATTAGTTGAGTATTGAAACAAAAAAAAAATTGTTTTTCTTTCGAAATATGTAACGAGTCTTTTCCAAAGAACAGACCTTTTCATAGTTGAATGATATCTCTCATTATATTTATTAGTTTAAAGTTTTGTTTTGTTTTTTTCTTTAAAAAACAAATTTATCTTTGAATACATGGTTACTTATTATATATATTAATTATCGAATTTTATTCTTTAAACAGATTTTAACTACATAGAATTCTACGATATTAGTTTTCATTTTCATTATTTAATCTTCTCATAAACATATTCAAAGTTGTTTCATAAAAAAATAAATGAAAAATTAAGAAATAAAAATGTTTCTATTGAAGAAAAAGGTTTTTCATTGATTCGTTTTTTCGAATTCGTGTTTGTTTTTCCTGGTTTGTTCATATAAGTAAATAGTACACGTTTGGAAGAAGAACACTAATTTATCATCAATTTCATTGAATCGAATATCCAGTAAGAATAGTTTATTCATCTTTTATTGTCATTTGTTTCCTTCTTTTCAAAAGATAATATTAATAAAACTTAAAAAATATTTATTGCTGACGTTAAAAAAGAAACTATTCAATTCTAATGAATACTAACTTATATGTGAATAATTGAATTTGATCTTGTCGGAATTTATTTGAATGAAATAACATATCATATTATGTTTCTTGTTTATTTCGATATGTTACACTTATCTTTAATTAAATTTACAAAATAAAACTTTTATCTAATTATCATTATCATTTATATGTTTATTGAGTAAAAAAAAAGCTTCACACTTATAATGAAGTTGCACGAATAAGGAACATTCACTGTATACATTCGATCTCATATGTTCTACTAAATATCTATCTCATACTTCAAGAGCACAATGTGATAAAACAAGACGCTAATACGAATTGAGATTTTCCTATAAATTTATTCATTTATTGTACTTGATTTTTGAATTCAATCAAGTATTTACTATGTGCCTAAAGTGTCATGAAATTAGAAACCTTATTCTATTTCTGACTTATTTATCCAATAAAGAGAACATATCTCTTTTTATAACTCTCACCATTCTCTAGTTGCTGCTAACGGGTTGTATAAAAGTTCTATATTGATTTTGT